CATTGGATCAAAATGGGTCTTCAAAGTAAAATTAAGGGCAGATGGGACATTGGATAGGTGCAAAGCTAGGTTGGTAGCTAAGGGTTACCATCAAGTAGAAGGGGTTGACTACTTTGAGAGTTTTTCACCTGTGGCAAAGCATGTTACAATTAGGATCTTCTTAGCAATTGCTACTACTAAACTGTGGCCTATTTTCCAACTAGATATCAACAATGCTTTCTTACATGGTTTTTTAGAGGAGGAAGTGTACATGTTGCCACCGGAAGGTTATACTAAAGCCAAACATGGACAGGTTTGTAAGCTAAAAAAATCGCTTTATGGCCTTAAACAGGCTAGTCGACAATGGAACACTGAACTCAGCAAACACCTTGAAATCTATGGTTTTCATCAATCTCCTCATGACCATTGTTTATATATTCTAACCAAGGGTAACTTGTTTGTGGCTGTCCTTGTATATGTTGATGATCTACTTATAACAGGAAATTGTGAGAAGGAAATACAGAGTCTTAAGACTTCCCTTCATTCAGCTTTTACTATTAAAGATCTGGGGCATGCCAAGTATTTTCTTGGCATAGAAATTGCTAGAGCTGAAGAAGGGACATATGTGAATCAAAGAAAATATGCTCTTGACTTGGTTGCTGATTCTGGCCTGTCAGGAGCAAAGTGCACTGCCACTCCTCTACCAAAGGGTCACAAACTCATTGCGGGAACTGATAGGTTACTTGATAACCCGGATCAGTATAGACGACTGGTTGGAAGACTTTTGTACCTCACCTTAACTAGGCCAGACATCACATTCAGTGTGCAACAATTATCCCAGTTTGTAAATTCCCCAACATTGGCTCACTGGAATGCTGCTCTTCATGTCATTAAATACATCAAAGGAACCACATCTACTGGTCTGTTCTATCCTGCAGCAAACGAATTCACCATTGAAGCTTATTGTGACGCTGATTGGGCTTCTTGTCCCGACACAAGGAAGTCTCTCACGGGTTACTGCATTTTCCTTGGAGGTGCTCTTATCTCCTGGAAGACAAAAAAACAACCTACAGTTTCTCGAAGTTCTGCAGAGGCGGAATACAGAAGCATGGCTGCTACTGTTTGTGAACTATTGTGGATATCCTACATTCTATCAGATTTTCAGATCCCGTTTTCTCTTCCTATTACTCTTTGGTGTGACAATCAGGCGGCCCTTCATATTAGTGCAAACCCCGTCTTTCACGAGAGGACTAAACACTTGGACATCGATTGTCATATTGTTCGAAACAAATACAAAGAAGGCTTCATCATTCCCAAACACATCTCCACGCATCATCAGCTGGCTGACATTTTTACGAAATCCCTTCCTGGTCCCCAGTTCAGCAAAATCTTCTCCAAGTTGGGCTTGCTTGTTTTTCACCGCGATCCCACTTGAGGGGGGGATATGGAGTTATTTGGTTAAATAATAACTAGTCAGTTAGTTTGTTTAAATGTTGGTAATTAGTTGGTAATTAGTTCTCAATTAGTTACACACGGTTTTACCTTTTTACCCTTATGCTTTGTATAAATACTGAACTACAGTTCAATAATAGATGAGTGTGGGAACTATGATTTCCCAAAACTGAATTTCACTTTCTAGATTTGCTCATGTTTGTGAAATCAATTCTGATATGTGTTTGAGAGAGAACGAGAATGGCAACAGAAGTGAGGATTGAAGTTTTTATAAGCACTCTTCGCAGCCTTCAACTCTGTTATCATGAGCTTCTATTCCTCAGTTTATTTTCCTTTCCAGTGAAAGTCAAAATATTTAGCCCATATTTGGTGGATTAAAATTAGATTTTTATTAAAATATATGGTTGAAAAGTTACTGATCCCATAAAATATGTGGTTAAAATTAGTTGTTAATTTTAATTTAGATTAAAATCTAAATTTTATTTTCTACCAAACATGGGCTTAGGAAACGTAAAATGATAATTCTAGTTATCTTTGTTATATTAAATTTAAATAAATAAACATGTCATTTTTATAATAAATTGAACTTTTACACTAAGAAGTTCAAAATGGTACCAAAGAATGCATACGTCGTATTTAAATTAAGTCTCGTTATCATTCATCTATAAAACTTTTATTTAATTATGACAACAAAAATATTTCATTAAATTAGTAAAACTATATAAAAGAAATGATTACGTGTGTAAGTAAACGTGACAAATAAGTAAAATATTTTTTTATTTTTCAAAAATATTTGTTATTTTCTTATAAATAATAATAATAATTTAAAAAACATTACTTGACAAGTAATTAACATGCATGGTCCTTATCCAAAAATATATTTTCTTCCTCTTCAATGATTTTTTTCATTAACTCAATTAATTATTCGATCAACAAAATGAATCAAATCATATTTTCGTCCCCATATTATGAGTTTATGCTATGCTAGTGTTGCTTGGGGGATGGGGGTGGTGGCTTCAAAAATCCAAATCATGATATCTTCTCTTCCACTTCACATGTTGAAGCACATTTTTATAGAGATAAACGCGCTTNTCTACTATTTTCGTTACAAGAGTTGCTATAAATGATACTCTGTCAACTGATTACTGCAATTTTTGTCATGGTCAGCACTTCTATGATCGTCCCTAGAAATATACGAAGCGCAAAATAAACAGGCAAGAATGCCATGTCAAATTATGAGTGAAAGTGCAAGGACACAGAAGTACAAAACATGATCTTTGGATCAAAGTCCAAAGGCAAAGATTCAGCAATTAAGCTAACACACTGCTAACAGTAGATTCAGATAAATCAACAGACAGAATAGCTAGCAATTAAGCATTTGTGCAAGGATGAAAAAACAAAAAACCCTCCTCCTCAATCCGAGTTTGGGACTGGCTGTGTGATGCTCAACTTCACAAGACACAGGCGGAGTTCATTTTTTTTTTCTTAAGACAATCATTAGTATATTAGCCTAACTTTTTACTGGATAACAATACGAACTTGTAGATGTAAGTGTTTTCGATGATCGGTAACTCATCAATCTTCCCTTGATCTCTTCAACTTCTGAAATTTTAGCTTCAAAGTCCATTCCAAGCAAGTCAAACTAACTAATCATCTTGATCCTCATTAGCATCCAAGACTTAATTAGGCTTTTTATCGCAATCAATAACTTTTTACTCTAGCATTGAGGTAGCTTCTACCTTAGTAATTATTTCCTACATACTTCATATATATAGATTTTAACCACTCAATGCTGACTTTCACCCCTTAGTGAAGGTAGCTTTTTTAATAAGTCGGTAGTTTTCACTTTATCATTGAGGTAGCCCTCTTTCCTAGTATATCGTCTTCTAAATATTTGTGATACATAGGCTCAAATTACTCACACATCAATGTAGGTAACTTTTTCCGAGATTTCAGATTGTAGCTTTCACTCGTATCACTAATGTAGCCTTCTTCATTGGTATACTATTTATTTGAAATGCATAGTATCAAATTACTTCGGGTGACTTCACACATCAATGTAGGTGACCATTTTCAACTGGACTAGCCTTGCTAGTGCAATGACTTCTCAACTAAAATAACTTCTATATTTGATTTCAGAATGAGACTATGAATTACTAATCCTCTAGAGCACTCAAGGCCACAAGTTCAAGGTCCCTTAAATGTATTTTTTAAAAGCTGGTTAATGTATTAGTTAGCATGGTATTTAGATTGTTACTTTGTTAGACAATTCTATGCTTCAATAAGTTGCGACACAAGACAAGATTTTTCAATTTTTTTTTGAAATTTACAGGGCACGTCAGAAGTGTTGTGTTAGACAATTCTATAGTTCAATTTTATGTTCTTCAATTGTTACTTTGATTTTTTTTCATTTTCTTATTGGATTTTCAGTGATTTTTTTTTTTTAGATTTTCATTTTTATTTATTTATTTTAGTCTTTTCTTTATAATAATTTAAAAAACATTACTTGACAAGTAATTAACATGGTCCTTATCCAAAAATATATTTTCTTCCTCTTCAATGATTTTTTTTCATTAACTCAATTAATTATTCGATCAACAAAATGAATCAAATCATATTTTCTTCCCCATATTATGAGTTCATGCCATGCTAGTGTTACTTGGGGGATGGGGGTGGTGGCTTCAAAAATCCAAATCATGATATCTTCTCTTCCACTTCACACGTTGAAGCGCATTTTTATAGAGATAAACGCGCTT